AGCTGGAAGCAGGTATCTGGGGGTTATTTATCTTCTATAATTGAAACGTTGTAGCCTTGAGCGGAGCCCACAGCCAGCCAGGGCAGGCGGGAAGCTTGGCTTCCTCCATCGCCAGGAGCAACCCAAGCCTCTTGTTGGATCAAGCTCCGCGGCTGCTGCCATCTTGGTTGGATTTGCATACTCGCTCCTGATTGGCTGGTGGGTGTGACTGGTGGGTGTGGCTTGTGGGTGTAGTGGAGGTACAGTCAATTTGCATGTTTCTCTTTTATTAGATAAGATAGATGCGCCTTTATAGAACTTAGGAGAGTGTTCTGTATGAGGTGGGCCTTCTCTAACTGCTAGATCAGAATATTTGAAAACTGTTTCTTCCCATTCCTCTTCCCTAGTAAGTAGTTCTCTTCCTCTCCTGCTTAGAAAGAAACAGACCATTAGACTCTCCTCCAACACCTCAATTTCCATCCAATATGTAGTGGGCTTAGGAGTCAGGGGAGAAACCTAGATAAGCATTCATATCATAAGGCTCCCAAACAGGTCATAAGTAGAAATGTTAGGCCTTCAAGAGCATGACAACAGGAAAGCTCATTTATAGGAGCTTTCTTTTATAAAGAAAGGGGCATTTTTTCATTTTTTAAGTCCAATCTGGTAAGACTCTGACTTCATGTAACCAGTACTCTGCCCATCATTCAAAAATAACAACAAAACAAAAATTTGTTCCAGTGTTCTATCTATAACCTGACATTATCCCCAATAGTTGATTCAATAAACACAGGTTAAAAAAAAATCACACTTTATCTCCTCTATGAAAAACCTAGAAATTTGGTCGATAGTAAATAGGTAGTAGCAAAAGTAGAAATGTAATTTTGTTCTTTGTAAGTATCTGTACAACATCCCTTCCCTCTGTTATTTTCATTTACATGCAACATCCTTTATAGTATAAATCACTATAGAGACAGACAGACAGACAGACAGACAGCTATGATGTGGTACCAGAGAGCAGGGCTGCTCTATAATCTTGGGCAAGATACTGAATCATCCTGTGCCTCCATTTCCATGTCTGTGAAACAGATATGGTGATAGTACTTACCTTAAAGGGTAATTATAAAGTAGGCTAATACAGATAAAGTATTTGAAACAGTCCTTGATGAGTACTCTAGTGCTAGCTATTACCATTATTACAGCAATTAAATGCTGTGACAATTTTTAGTCACTATTTGCATTTTTTTACATTGTTTTTTGAAAATGTTTCTAATGGCTAACATCCCATGAACTCTTCTGCAGACACACAAAATGGGAGAGGAAGAAATGTGTGTGTTGTTCAGACAAAAACATATAATTTGAATATCTGTTTTATTTGACTTTCAGTCAGGCGTTTTAATTCTTTTGGATAAAAGTCTGTATTTTACACACACTTGTCAATAGATCTTATTCCAGCTGCAGTCTTTTCAAACAGCATTAATGTACCGACTCTTACAACCTTTTTGTTCACATATTCATTTAACAGTGAGAAGTAGAAAGCAGATGTAAGCAATACTCACTCTCTTGATTATTAGGAATAAAACCTTTCAACAAGCCCCAAAGACAAAGTACTTCCCGTTCAACACACAGTAACAACTGATCTATAACTGCTGTACAGTTTACAAATTATGTAGTACTTGGATTGGAAATCCCAAGCCCATTTCTCTTCAACTCCCACACCCTTTACTTCTCCATAACTCTTTAGAGGAGGAAGCTAAGAAATTCTGGTTCCTAAGGATACAAAAAGATCAACATAAGTAATCCCATACTGCTTCTTTCTACATCTTTCTTCTCCTAGGTAGGTCATAGCTAAAGAAAGTTGCAAGGTGTCAATGGATGAGGCTGTCTAATCTCTCCTGAGTCTTCACTACTACTTGGCAATCACTTTCACTTATAATGTATCCACCCTGACAGTACTAACAGCTTTAACAAACCTCCCTTATTTTCCCCATCCCTATATCCCCCACCTACAATCCAGACACATATCTCTTCATTCTAGCAGTTTTCAACCTCGGTGAGGTAGCAAAAGCCACCTGAGAAAGCTTCTGTAAATGACAAACCACTGCTCCTGTTGCTGCCTCCCTCTTACCCCAAAATTCTTATGCTCCTGTTTGGAAGAACAAGCCAGAAACTCAGGGAGAGGCATATGTATTTGAAAAGGTGACTTCCTTGTGGGTAGAGACCTAATCTTACTCATTTCTATTCCTAGCACTTAACCAAGTGGGCTCTCAGCAAATGAATACCCAAACCAATGAAATCATTTATTAAAGTAACCAATCTCGTGAGGTCTCCAAATGTCTCTTGGCAGTTTACAGTCTGTAGCATTTTCACGAAGGTGAGGTAATATGTTATAGTGGTTGAAAGCACAGGCTCTGAAGACAAATTAGTGGGTTGGAATGTGAACTACACTGCACAGCAGGAGCTCTGTAACTCTGGACAGAAGTTACTGAACCTCTCTGTGCTCCAACTTTCTCATCTGTAAAATAGGAGAGAATAAGAGTACCTACCACACAGGGTATTGTGAAAATAAAATATTAATACATGTAAAGAGCTTAGAAGAGTGCTTAGAATGGAGCAAACACTATATAAATGTGAGCTAACGTTTTTCTCTGAAGCCGCATGCCCGAATTTGAGTCCTGTTTCTGATATGTACTTAAGTGTTAATGATCACAGGCAAATTACTTGATCTCACTGTGCCTGTTTCCCTATCTATAGAATGGGGATAATGATAGTATCTATTTCACTGGTTGTCTTGAGAAATAAAAGATGAAATATGCAACACATATAGCACAATGTCTTGTACATAAAGCACTCAATAAATGGTAGCTATTATCACCTCAGTCTCACGTGCATTTTGGCTGCTGAAGTTGGTTTGCTATGGCCTGACTCTGGTGTATGTGTGGGTCCAATCAGTTAAGTTCCATCAGATGAGATCCTGACCAGCTCTAACCCTTTCCACAGATAAGGAATTCTTAATCTAATGTCCATAGTGAACTTTAAAAATTTTTTATTCAAAATTGGGTATAAAAGAATGGTGTATATTTTTCTGAGACAAAGGGCCATAGCTTTCATTAGCTCCTCAATAAGTAAATGAGCCTAAATAGATTTTTAAAAACAAGCAAAACCTATTGCCAATAACATTACCAGTACAATTTTCATCTTTTTTCTTCTCTTAAAACAATTTCTACACCTTCCCCTGAGTCTCTAAATCAAAGTTACAGTATTTTAAAAAGTCTCTCTGCAATGTGATTCTAGTATAATCCTTCTCATTTATAATACTGCCAGATTATTTCTTCAAAAGAACTATAATAGTACTTTCTCTGCTCAAAAACCTAAATACTGTCCAATATCCAATATCATAGCTGAACATTCAAGCCTTTATAACTTGGCCATAGTCTACCTTTCCAGCCTTGTCCTCCATACATGGCCCTAAAGGAGTCACTTGCCATTGCAGAAATCCACGTGGCTTTCCTCCATATCTCACTCTACTCTATCTAGAATATCTTCAACACCACTTTCTCCAGTAAACCAATACTCATCTTTAATAGTTACTGTCTTTAATAACAAATATATTTCATTCCCCCTGCTAAATAGTAAATTCTTTGAGGATAGGGACTATGGCCTCCTTTACTTTTATATTCTCAACTTTACCTAGTATCATGGTTTATAAATTTAGATAAATATTAGTTCTCTGGTAATCTTTTCAAAGTTAGTAGACAGAACATTTCAAGAATTTCTAGATATTCATGAAATTTGAAATACCAAATTTCAATCTGTTAACTAAAGCTTTTAAAAGGCAAAAACTGCTATGTCATAACATAATTTTCAACACACTGTAAGTTATAGTTGTGCCCTGAAGGACACAACTATGGTTACAGCATTATAAAGATTAAGTGGACAGCCCTAGTGGTTTAGCTCAGTGGATAGAGCAGTGATGGCGAACCTATGAAAAGCATGTCAGAGGTGACACGTGAACTCATTTTTTTGGTTGATTTTTCTTTGTTAAATGGCATTTAAATATATAAAATAAATATCAAAAATATAAGTCTTTGTTTTACTATGGTTGCAAATATCAAAAAATTTCTATATGTGACACGGCACCAGTTAAGTTAGGGTTTTTCAAAATGCTGTCACGCAGAGCTCAAAAGGTTCGCCATCACTGGGCTAGAGTGTCGGCCTGCAAACTGAAGGGTTCCGGTTTGATTCTGGTCAAGGGCACATGCCTGTTTTGTGGACTTGATTCCCAGAAGGGGGTGTGCAGGAGGCAGCCAATTAATGATTCTCTCTTATCATTGATGTTTCTATCTCTCTTTTCCTCTCTTCCTCTCTAAAATCAGTAATAAATATATTTTTAAAAAATAGAATCAATAAAGATTAAGTGGACAATAAATTTCCAAATCATATATATGATAATGGTATTCTATCACTAAGGACTTACAGAAGAGTAACAGAAACCACCTCCTCCCTTCAAATACCTAAGTTCTATGACCCCCACAATGTTATTATCTAAGTCAATTGCCTAGAAACATTCAAAGCCCAGTTAGTGAAAGAAGTAAGGTTTCAATCCAAGGTTCCTAAATCAGGGGCAAGTTCCCTAGACTGGTGGTTCCCAACACTTGCTGCAGTTTAGAATCCTCTGCAGAGTTAAAAAGAACAGATTCCTGGCCCTCCATCCACACCGATTAAATCAGACTTAAGAAATGCTGCTGAAGATTACAATTTGTTTTAAAAATTCCCAGTGGATACTAATTTTCCAGGGCTGAGAACCACTGGCCTAGACTGGTTGAAAATCTTATATACCTTGGCAATTATCATAAAAGGCAATCTTTTAAGATCAACTTAAGCTATACAGAATGGATGAAACTTATCCTCTAATTTACTGACTTGGGCCTATATGCCAACAATTAGTCTTGAATTTACAAAGCTGCTATCTTCTCTTCTGGGATGAGGCATTATGAAGAAACTCATGATAGTAATTCACTTACACTCCTCTTTACTTGGTGAAGTTACATTCAGTTCTGTCGGAAGCGGCTGCTGGCTGGGACTAAGAGTTGGCGTGGTTATAGAGGTATTGTTGTTGTCACTGGTGGTCTCTTCGGAAAACAAATCTGATTGGCTGTTACTTGTACTTGGAGCGGAATCATCGTCTGGTTGTTTCTTTTGAAAATCTGGGGGGGGGAAAGTAAGAAAACCAATTTAATTAAGGCATTCATAATCTCCTTGGGTATCAGAACAAAATGAAAGTTAGCAGAAAGATAAATGTAATAGCAGCAATAATAAAGACTAATTTGGGTGCTTAAAAAAATGGAGGTGCCCTGACCGGTGTGGCTCATGTAAACTGGTTGGAGTGTCATCTTGTACACCAAGTGATGGTGGGTTTGATTCCTGGTCAGGGCACTTACTGGGGTTGCAGGTTTGATCCCCAATGGGGGTGCATGCGAAAGGCAACCAATGTCTGTCTGTCTCTCTCTCTTCCTCTCTCTCTCTCTCTCTCTCTCTCTCTCTCTCTCTCTCTCTCTCTCTCCCCCCTCTTTCTCTCTCCACCCCACCCCTTCCTCTCTCTAAAGTCAAATTTAAAAATGGAAGTAAAATACTGGTCAAAAACATATAAAATTGATAGAGAGGATAACTACATTGCTTAGAAGAATGGTAGAATGCTGATTTTAATGTAAGACTTTGCAAAGCAAAATGCTATTAAAATTTTAGGGATAATTAATAGAAAGAAAAAGAAATATAGAAAAGTTGCTCAAACAAACAGAAGACAGGTAAAAAGAGAAAAAAACTGCAGAAAACAAAGCAGGGTAAATAGAAAATACATAATAAAATAGTAGAAATAAGTACAAACATACTAAATAAATGTAGACAGACTAAACTTAGCAGTTAAAAGAAAGTTCAGACTGAATAAACAAAGTCTTGTTCCTTGCAGTTTACAAGAGACATACTAAAAACATAAATATGAGGATATAGAAAATTTAAGTCTATAAAAATATACCCACAAATACACAATTAAAAAGCCAGCAATAGCTCGAATATTGTCAGAAAACAGACTTTAAGGCAAAGAGCATTATTAGAGATAAAGAGGATCATCATATAATAGTAACAAAAGAATTTTTTACCAGGAAAATAAAACAATTCTGAAACTGTATGTACCTAATAACAAAGCCTCAAGAGCGAAAATGATTGTATTTACAGAAAACTGACAAATTTATTAACATAATAGAAAAATTTTAATATACTTGTCTCAGACAGAATAACTAATAAAATTCATTAAGATTAATAAGCATATACAGAGTAAGGATAAAGTAGGTTTACAGTTGTTTATATGAAAAATATAATAATAAATAATACAAGAACCAACTGTTTTGCATACAACTGCAAATTTACTTTTGCCCTGTATAGACTCATGCACCCTACAATTAGATAATGAATTTTTAAAAAACACATGAATATTTATAAAAACTAACTAAAACCTGGCTAAACCATGATCACACATATTAGGCCATAAAGCAAAAGTTTCAACAGATGCCAAATAGTATGATACAGACATGATTAGCTAGCTGATCAGAGAACAATTAAGTTAAAAATCCATAATAAAATTCTATATGGAAAAATTTAAAAATACATTTTAAGCTCATGGTTTAAATCAGAAATTAAAAAGTACTTATAATAAAATGACAATAAAATTAATACTTATCAATATCCAGTAACGATAAAGATGCACATACATTACCTGTACCACAATCATTTCATTCCTAAATATATCCCTGAGAGAAACTCCACACACACACACATCTTAATTTTATATTGTCCATAACAGTAAAAAGTCAGATATAACCTGAAGGTTTATATATTGCAATGTAATGAGATAATAGAATAATGTACATAGTGAGAAAAAGTAACTATTGCCAAATTCATCAACATGAATCTCGAAATCATAACATTGACCAAAAAATGCAAGGCACTAAATAATATAGTAAGACTGTACTTACATACATCTTAAAAAATAGGTAAAACTCAATATATTGTTTAGGAATGTGTATGTTTAACCACTAAAAAATATTAACACAATTCAGGATAGTGTTACCTCTTAGGTTGAGGAAGGGAGATATGAAGATGAGAGGTTACACAAATATTCAAAATTATAGGAATTCCACTGACAGAGAATGGGTTAAAATGATATATTCAAGCATATAATGGAATGTTCTATGACAGTTAAAATAAGTGAATAAAGCTACAAATATAACAGAAAAATCCAAAAAACAATTCAGAGAGAAAAGCAACCCACAGAAGGATATATAGTATAATAATATTTATATAATAAATTTAAATATGTAAAATACCATTTATTATTTATGAACACATAATTAAAGTACAAAAACACACATGGAAATGACACACCAAATTCAAGATAGTCGTTATTAGGGGAGGGAAAAGAAGAGGAGATTTCAAATCTAACTGTACTTTTTTCTTTCTTAAAGCTGATGATAGGTTAAAATTATTATGTATGTTATGCATATGTTTCATTTTAAAAATCTACCTGGGGGGGGGGTGTGGGGTGGAGGGGGGTCAATGGGCAAAAAAGGAACATTTGTAATATTTTCGACAATAAAGATAAATATTTAAAAATCTAATGCTAGACTATGAAGTACAGATTATATTTTACCATGTCAATTCAGAGAAGGATAGAGGATCCTGGCAACTCCACATTGCTTTATCATTTGAACCACAGAGAAGCTGCTATTATGCTGTATAACCTTATCAGAACTACTGTTTTGAGATATTGAGTATCAGAATATGTTACCATGAGGCTAGGTGAAATGTTTTAGGTATATAATACATTTACTTTAATCCTAGAGACAAGGCTAACAAGGGAGGTATAGTTAACACCACTTTACTGATGAAGAAATTGAGGCTCAGAAAGTTTAGGTCATTTGTTCCAAATTACAAGCTAGTAAATAGTAGGATCAGGATTTAAATGTAGCTCCATCTGACACCAAAGCACACGGTATTCAATCACAGGATGTAAGAATGGTGAACACTAGACTGGCCAGGAAAAGGCTCCACATCAAGACCCTACCCAGTTATAGGAGCAAAGATGAGTGCAATGGAAAAATCACTACCCTACTGTGCCCATCACTGTTCTCAAGTCTTACTGCTTCTTTTCTATGTATTTATTTCTCTTAGCCAGTCTTATTCTTTAGTGTTTTGACATTTTTAAATGGCTTATTATCTCAATGTTATTTATACAACACTTTGGAGGGAAAGATACTATATAAATGGAGTAAAAATACTGCAATAATGATGCTTTTTTAATGTCATGTCATCTTATTAGTTCTGCTATGTCAATAATCACTGTGTCCCTCCAATCACTGCCTCTCTACCATTTCACTGGAAATGCTGTAAGGCCCTAAAAGAACTGAAACTGAGTAATCATTGTCCCATCTAGCACAAGCCCCAGTCCTCTCTGATGTTAATGATGCTTCTATTTAAAGACACTGTCACCACGCCCCACCCACATAATCTCCACTCCAGTCCACGCCTGATGCTCCTCAATGCTCGGGTGCTTTTCTTTGTTTTCTTCTGTAAATCTGCAGTTGACACAATATACCTCCTATTGTTAGTTATTGTTGCTAATGCTTACCCGAGGATATCTGTTTCCACTGATTTTTACAGAGTGGGAAGGAGGCAGGGAGGGAGGAAAGAGATAGAGCGAGATCGAGAGACAGAGAGAGACACTGATGTGAGAAAGACACATCGATTGGCTGCCTCCTGCACATGCCCCAACCAGGGCTGGGGATCGAACCTGTAATCTGGGTATTGCCCCTGACTGGGAATGGAACTCAGGATCCTTTGGTGCATGGGCTGATGCTCTAACCACTGACCAGGGCACACTGTACCTACTTTTAACCCATCCTCTTGCTTTTCTGCACCCCCACAGGGCAATGGTGTGAAAAAATCATCAAGCGAAAAGTCTTCATTACAAACCAAACTGGCTGCACACAAGAGAACTAGTATAAACTCTATACATTCTCTACTTCAATTCAATAAAGAACCTAAGAATCATAAATTTTTATAAGGAGAACTTTAAATATCCAGCTCAATCCTCTCCCTACATAGAGAGAAAGAAAGTTAATGCCAACTCACCAGAAATCCAGAATTAAGCCTCAGAGTTTTCTAACTCTTAAGCTAAATTAGCAGCCTGTACAATAGAAGAGCTTTAGAGTTTAATCTGGATTCAAATCCTGACCACTATTTACTGGGCATATGGCTAAAAGCAAATTGTTTAATCTTTTGGGGTCTTGTTTGTAAAATGAAGGAAGAGAGAGTTAATTCTACCTCTCAGAATAATATCAACTAAATAAGATACTGTACTTATGTAATGTATCTAGCACATGAATACTCAACAAATATCATTAAAAATAAAAGGTATTTTCCTAGTTTAAAGAAAGGGCATACAGTTACCTTTTCCATTTAGCCCTGATGTTTACATTACATTGCAGTTCTTACTCTCTTGTTCCTTTTCTTTCTGAATCAGTCAGCATCCAACTTCTGACATAAACAAAGTTCCCAGAAGTCTAGAATAGCAGCTTTACACTGAGTGGCCAGATTATTATGACCACCTGACGTTTGTAGGCAAATTAGCTATAATTTCACGCTGAAGTTGCTAGAGGGCCAGACCATTATAACAGGGAAGCAGGTTGTTCACCACGACAGTAGAACTGATTTATTTCTGAAGATATGGGTAAACAACGCGATTTAACAGCCTTTGAACGTGGGATATATTTGAACGTGAGTGAACGTGGGATATATTTGAACATCAGTGGCCAGATTATTATGACCACCCCCTCAGTACTTCGTTGGGCCACCTTTTGCCTTCAATACTATGGCGATTCTTCTTGACATTGACTCCACGAGATGTTGAAAGGTGATGCGAGGAATCTGACACCATGCCTGATGAATAGCACTGTCCAGTTCTGTGAGATTTGAGGTTGTGGAACCAGCTGCCTGATGGCTTTTAACTTCGTCCCACAAATGCTCAATTGGAGTGAGATCTGGTGATTGTGGGGGCCACCTAAGCAGGTTAAGTCTCCCTCATGTTCTTGAAACCACTCCTGCACAATACAAGCACCGTGGCATGGCACACTGTCTTGTTGGAAGAAGCCATCTC